ATCTGAGTGTCTGCTTACTGGAAACATGTCATCATTACCCATCATCTATGTGTGTGTTTACTGGATAAAGTGTCATCATTACCCATCATCTACACATGTAAGTGTGTGTTTACTGAATAACACATCATCATTACCCATCACCCACATGTGTGTTTACTGAATAACACGTCATCATTACCCATCACCTACATGTGTGCTTACTGGGTAACATGTCATCATTGCCCATCATCTATGTATGTGTTTACTGGATAACATGTCATCATTACCCATCACCTACATGTGTACTTACTGGATAACGCGTCATGATAACACATCACCTACATGTGTGCTTATTAATTTTTTGCCAACACAAGACTTTTTCTGGTAATACATTCTGTAAGTACTATTCAGAGAAAATAAATAACATACATAAATAGATCATTCTAAAAGTGGACATAAATCCCAAAATAATGAGAATCACTGTAACATTTTAACTCTTCTTAATACATTTTTAAATAGATCAATATTTCTTATTGTAAGTTCTGAAAATGTAACGCACATGTAATACTATTAATAGTGATCAATATATACCTCTTTCAAAAGATGTATTGCGGCAATAGGAAGAGGTAGAAGACCTGACTCAGTGGAAGGTAGTTCTGGCATACTCAGATTTAACAATGAAGATTCACTCTTTTGGGGAGAGGATAATGGAGTGTTTGAGGCTGATGAATTCTGCAATATAAAGGTCCAAAGTAAAATAAATATTGTATAAGTATCCAAGGCAGGTACCAGAAATAACAAATATAGCATGCTTACACACGTGCACGTTCCAGACACTGAAAGTGCCACTAACCCCCAAATTCTTTTTCTTTGAATAAAATCTACTAGTTTCTCTGATTACTTCAGCGAATAAACGACATGCAATCCATGCAGAAGCGATGACGTGTACGTGCTATTTTGAAAATTGTTTCAAGAAAATTGGAACATAAACAGACAGGCTGATGGTTAAACTTAATAAAAGTAAAAGTAAGGTGCAACCTGTGTGGGAAGTAGCTGTATTGTAACTAGCTTTGCAAAACCCAACTATAGTTATAGTTGGGTGTTGAGAGTCCAAGCGATCGCTTGCATCGCAAGCTTATTTGTTCCCTTTGTTCAATTGTTCTTCTTTGAACTGAATAATGAAATTCACCTTTCTCCCTTTTGTTTACTTTTCGAAATGACCGGCAGTGAGACTTAAAAATTTTTATGAAATAAAACAATGTAAAAGAATATTGTGATAGATGTCCCCTAGAGAAATCCAGTGGCGGATCCAGACTTTCACTAATACAGTTTATTTCAGTTCAGAGATAAGTTTAGTTCAGCTATTTCAGTGCTCGTACACTGCTCTGACAGTGCTCATTCAATTGAATTCACCTCGAGAGCAAAAAGTCCGGGCCACAGAGCGTTCACCAATACGTAAAATTAATGTTGACCCTTGACCTATCGCGTGATCCTATCCTATCCTATCGCGTGATCCTGATCCTAGACGCTGCAAAGAAATGAATAAACTTGCATCTCTCCGGATAAAGTGAAACATGTTGTTTAAAATACATCAACGACATACACAAACTTGAAAACAACAAACAGTACTTTCACTTTTAAGCAAAAACCACCTAGTTTTATTTTGCATACTGTATGTTTTTCATCTCCTGAGTCATTAACGAAATTTGGTACTGAAACAGAGCTTCTTACTTCGTAAACAATTATTTTAATTATTAAATACACTTGTACAAGTGGTATGGCTGTCTCGGACCATACCACCAAGATTAAGCATTTACTAGAATTTTTCATTAAAACACTATCAGACTCTTCACTATCACCCTACAAGCTTTTAGGCTCTTTCAGGTGTTCAGTTAGTTGCGGCACACTGCAAAAAGTGGTACACGAAAAAATAGGGAAGAGAAGAAGCGTGGCACGAAAGGTGAGCCATGTATATTGAAAAGCACCCACACTGCCATAGAACTGTTATTGAACTGCAAGAGAATAAAAAATCCTTCACTGGCAAAATTTCAAGGGAATTCAAATTCTGAAATATTATTGTAAAAGATGTGAAAATGCCAAGAGTAAATATGGTTTTTGACTGGACATAAACTTTCTTGGACCAACCATGAGTGTGGATGTGATTGAATATGACATCAGCGTTTATCAACCTGAACTATCAATATTGCAGGCCTGATCCAGTTGAATCCAAGAAAACAAAAAGTGGTATTTTGAAAAGGAGCTGACATACCAATTTTTCATTAGTTTATGTACTTACTGCAGATTTCCTGATTTGAATGAGAATGTCACAGATACAAGCTGATGAGATCCCATTTGGAACACCAGGTTCCTTAACCTCGTATGAAACGCTAAGAGCCATTTCAATCCACTCCAACAGATATTTCAACGACCCTCTCAGGGTGTTAATTCTTAAAAGCAATTCACAAGCAAGCTGTCTTCCAACATTATCAGCTGCTGAGCTTGGAGACACAACTCCCCTAAGAAATGCTGTGATCTGGTTCAAGCAATCTTGTCCCATCTCAGGAATTTTTGACTCTTGTGCCAAAGCAAGTGGAGGAATAGCAGACAAAACATCTGATGCAGTTAACAGTACATCATTACACAGCTGTCCATGATTAAGTTGCCAGGACTGACGCAATAAAGCAAATAAAAGTGACATCCCGGTTTTAACACCCATTTCTATTAGCACCGCGGAAGCATCTTTCGTTTCTGCGGCTGCAAGTTTCGTTAAACTCGTGGAATTATCCCGAGAATTATTCTTTGAAGATGAGGCTGATTTTGGTGACGAGAACTTGTGAAATTTGTTTGATAAAGCGGAAAATATCCTCTGTAACACTTGAAGTCTACGACGTAAAGCAGAATGAAAAGGAGAACTGGCGCAAACATTGCGTGCAAGTGATAACTGGCTGTATAAAATGTCATTTAGAAATTTATCTTGATCCTCGGAAGAAACGCTGGCCAGTCCCCGTTCATACTCCGGAAGATCGGGGCCTCGAATCTGTATAGGAACATGCGGTGTTGGAGGAACTTCCTTGTTGTTAAGAAGCTTTTGGTGAAGTAAAACAACACCTTGTCTTGTAGCCAACGTCTCCACATCTTCCCTCGACCATGAACCATCAAAGTGGTCCAGACAGTGTAGTTGCACAGAATTCATCCCCTGAAATCGGAGCACCAGTAACGGAACTTCGAGAAATTTACTCCAAAGGTGATGTAATCTTATGGTAAGCCAAGTAGAGACCATTTATTGGAAAAACAAGGCACGCAAAATAAAACGCGCGTACCGCCATTTTTTTCCTCGTGAGAACGCAAAGGACAGTGGGACAGGTAAAAGCTCGGCCCCATGCCCCAGTCTTGGGTTTCTGATATCAGCTATTTTTTGTGAGATTATGCAATATTATTGCCTAATCTCATAGTCATCGATCCCTTGAAGGTTTGAGGATTTTATGAAACCTGAGAATGTCTCCACAGATGAGAGTTAATAGATAATGAAAATAGCGAAAACACTTCCGATTAGAGTAAATAGTCAATGAGGATAGTGAAAACTCGAGACGAAATCGGATTGTCGCATTTACAAAGC